TGGGGACATTTGGTCCCCATAACGTGATGAATACCAGGTGCACAAGCACGCACACACACACACACACACACTATTCAGAGCTCCAGACTGCAACTAAAAAGATCTAAAAGTGAAGATAGGAAAAATCTAGAATATAAATGACCTGTGAGTGTCAATGTGAAAAACATTGTTTGAATCAGATGTAGGACAGTGGCTTGTCAGTTTTTCAGAAGATCAGTGATGCTATGCTCTGAGTGATCATATGCAAGCCGACATCTATACATTCACTAAAAAGCGCTGCTGAAAAAAGTCATTAAGTAAAACTAATGAAGAAAAAGTAGTTTGCTTTGAAAAAAAGGTTCCTGCAGCATTTAAACAGATACAGACACTTTTATATTTTGTTACATAATGCAGTGGCATTCAGACATTTCTAAGTATCATGTTAGTGTCAATTTTCTCTTTGAGTGTTAATTTTGACATCTCTATTACTTTCATTCCTGTATTTTGTGTTTTGCAATCTATTAAATCATTATGCAAGAATATATTTTCAGTATTACCTTTCAAAATGAACACCACAGTCCAGCCCTGTGTTTCATTACTGTGTTTATGGCAGATGTTTCTGCGCACCTCATGAGCACAAGTAGTTCATTCGATCGAGAAGGAGACCAGGAACTTCTGGAATGGCTTAAACGCCACGGGGCAGATGCAGATTCCATCGAGAGGGTAATTTACAGAAAAAAAAACTCTTCAATTTGGTCACCAAACGCTGTAAATTCATGTTGTCCTGTGTGTATGAACAGATAATGGAATATTTTCTGTCCAAATCACAGATTCTAGCTGAAGATTACAGTCTTGATGACATCCTTCATTATGTCACAAGAGACGACTTAAAGACTTTGAGATTACGGTGTGTGAACATTTCTGATAATCTGTAATATATTCATTTTTTTGTGTTTTTTTATACTTGTATTTACTACAACTCCCCCAAAACAGCCAAGAATGTGTATAGGAACGTGTTTTTAAAATAAGCTCTAACGATGCATTTATTTGATT